TCGTCGTGTAGTTATTTAGCGTCTAGAAGCAGACTATTTTCAGAGTTGATCGATGGCTTCTCGGACCTTCCTAGACGGCAGGCGTGTACAATATATAAATGAACGAAGCGCTTCGAAGGATTAACCTATTCGTATACGGAACTTTTGCGAGGGGAATATTTTCGACAAATTTCAATCGAGGTTACGGTTTCAATCGATACGGTCAGTTCAATACTACTTGGACTACTTTCCGTGGCAGGAAACAGATCAGGCCGTAATGTTCATTTCCACCTCGGCCAATAGTAGATCGGAACAACTGTTGATACACGTGTAAGCTCCAATTCGGACCTGTGTTTGTGTATGTCTGTCTATAGAGCGCAGATGTAACCAACGCTTAACCCAAAGCTATCTAAGACTTAACCAGGATCCAGCCAATACCTAACCCAAGCCCAACAAAGATCCAAACCGGAACCCTAACCAATGATTTAATCTGCGACTACCGGGGCCTCGTACGCCCCAAACTTGGACATGATCCGACCAATATCCGACGTTCGATTCGATTTCTAATTGGCCATCTGTTCAATGAAGCCCTGCATCATCTGCCGCTGGTATCGCGGACACGCCGATCGTAATTCTTCGCGCATCGAGACACACGTCCTTATTGTCCTTGTACAATTTGTCCTCGTCCAATTTGCGGACGAAAGTCCGAAATATATATATATATATCACAGAAAGTAACGGGGAAGAGGGGAAGAAAACGAAAAATTGTTAGAATTCGCTTCCTTAATTTGCATACCGAGAGAAATGTATTATATTGTCAAAGTTATGACAACGCGCGGCGCGAAGTGACGAGTGACGTTGTTGGGAAAAGACGGGACACGAGTCGACTACGACGGTGCGTTTCCATTCCCAGAAATGGAATTGAAATGTATTTCCAACGATTTTCCTTTCGATTTTCCGCGTTTGTGTCTGGGACAAAGACACGACGGCCGATATAAACGGCGAATATAAACCGCAGGAACGTAAACGATATGTTGTTTGATATTAATACGAGGGAAGAATGGATTCAAAGCGAGGATCGACTGATAAATTATTACAAACGGGGGCAGGTTATTCTTTTGTACGGACGACGGTTGCAGGGGAAGGGGTTGCTTTAAAAATATACGCTCAATTATTAATCGTGTCACAATTTACGGTCGATAGCCAGCAGGCAACGGTGCTCGGTGTCTGTAACAGAGCGTATTGATATCCTGTCCATATCATTACCACCGGGGACACCGAGGTTATTTCACGGGCATCAAAATTGCCAGAATTTACCGATTAAACTCGGCTTCCTCTCCACCGGAAAGCTTAATGCAATCGAGCCTTGACAATCGAAAGCTTGCGAGCAATACGTGTTCGCGGTTCGCTCGATTGTTTGATAATTGTTGAAACGTTGTCGAAATAACGGTACGTCGCGTTCGTTAACAAATCTAGAGATATACCCGGTGTCCGAATGAAAACTCGCGACAATTCCGAGGAAGGGGAAAAAGCTGGCGTGAAAGAAATTCTCGTCGGTTGTGCATGTCGAGGGGCAGTGTTGCAATTAATAGCTGCGAAGAACGATAAAAGGATAAATGTATAGAACTGCGGCGCCGGTTGACGGTATTGGAAAGCGAACGATCGTGTCTGCTTGGTAAAAAGCACCAGTGGATGGATCTCGTGGGAAGGACAAACGGAGAAGCTTAATTGAATCTACCACGTCCATTCACGTTGATTAATTCAGTTCGATCACCGCAACGCGGGAGGGAGGGTGAGGGAGGAGGAGGGGATACAATTATTTCATGCCATGAAGTGCTGGAAGGGACGTATTGCCACGTAACGGCTGTCCTGTACCCGCTTCTAATAATCATTTGCGAACGGCTATGACATTTCATATGCAAAACGATCGGTTTCGAGCGGTGGTAGCCTGGGACGAACCAGCGAGACGCACCAGAGATTTGCAACCCGGCGTGCAATCTGCACAATCGCCAAAAATGCGCCATATTCTCAACGGCGCTACTATAATTCCGTTTAATTAAATTTCACAGTATTTCCCTTCCATTGGCAGACGGGCGGCGGATCGTCGTTTCAATTATTAACTTTTATCAAATTCCCATCTTTTCAGCGGGGCGGCACAATATGTCATTCAGCCCTCTTGGCGCTAATTAATATACAGCAAATATGGCCACGTGTTATTAATAATCGTTCGCCTCTCAGGTCGATTGTTCCGGGGCGAAACAAACGTAGCGTTTCAGCAACGAACAGAAACCTATGTGTTTCGTCGGCGATTCAACGAGGGACCGCATTTTACCAAATACACCGGATAACAATTAATTTGATGACAGACGAATAGTAACGAATCGACCACCCGTGGTAGACTGTCCTTGTGTGTACGATGATACATGGATTGTAACGCGCGTGTTTCGCCGGTGATTATTATCCGTGACGTGTCGAGAATCGTTGTTGGTAACTGGTAACAAACACCGGGGATAATAGGCAGCCGACCTGTTTCCATTGGCAAATAGAGAACGAACAACGAAGATAAGGGCGATTACATTCTCTAAATCGGCCACTCGTAGAAGGGATTCGGAACCCTCTCTCTCAGGCCATCCCCATCCTCATCCCACGTATCGTTCGTTTCGATTATCAGGATCGATTTGCTACCGTTTCTGATAAACGACCATCCGACCGTCTGCGTACGTCGGATCGTACGCGTTTCGGCTAATGCCATTCGCCAGCACTGCTTCGTTCATCCAACGCAGCCGTGCAACCGTTAAAACGCGTTAAACCGCGCGCGCCGCGAGATTGAAGCGGAAGATATACATTTAAATCAATTTCACAGTTAATCGAAGGCGATCGATATCGCGGTGGAAGATATGCGTTTGGTATATCAGGTATTGCGAGGTTCGATGCGACGATGCGTTGTACGTTTCGCGAGGTAAAAACCCAAGATTTCGCCAAGGTTAATCGAACTGTCTGTCGGGGAATCCGAGGTCATCCGATTTCTCGCAGAGGGAGAAAGACTCGGAAGAAGGGGGGGGGGAATTCAATGTAATCCGGCATGTTTCGACTACGGCGCCGATTACTGGACATTTTTGCAACGAAAAGTCTGAAAGTCCGAATGGGCTATCTGCCCATTCGATCTTTAGCTCGGCCGTGGGGCGGTCGAGTTTGGTTTAATTTTACGATTATCGAGAAGGTAATTGGTTGCCGGTCGGATGTGACAACGTTAAAACGGCCGAGAGAAATCGAATTTCACCTCGGAATAAAGAGGGCCATCGGCCAATTCATAATTTATTTTCGCAGCGTGACGAAACAAATTTACGCGCGGCAATGTAATTTGGCACGCGCGTATCAGCGATTATTTCGCGAATCCTCGTGAAGGCCGGGGCGACACAACGCCACCCGTGTATTCGTAGGCGGAGCAACTGCGAATATTGCAGAAACATGCCCACAGCTTGCGGTACGTATGGACACGGAGGAGAGAGGAGCCGGGGGTCTAATTTCGCGAACAGTGGATAACTTCGAGAAGACAATCTAACTATCTTGCTCACGTACGGAACAACGGTGTAACTAAGGAGATAGCCAAAGGGTTCGAGTGGGCCGGCACACACAAGTCGAAGTCCGTCTAAGAAGTACTTTCCCTCACGTATCGCAGATCCTTCTGTTTCCTGGGCTGAAGATGAACAGATCGGGCGCGCCGAGTACAAGGATCCCACTTCCCGCTGTTCCTTTTCCGTTTCTCTTCGGCTACACACTTCAGGAAACGCCGTTATAACGTTGTAATAACGTTGTTACGAAGATCCATCGAAGCACGATTTCACGAGTCTTAGAAACTCGTGATAATTGCAAGAGCAGAGGGAAATTTGCCGGGCTACGAGCACGCACAATCGAGGAATACGCGGTGTGTTTCTTGCCTTTTGACATCAGATATTCTTATTTGGTTCGTATTTCTCAAAAGTACAAACGAAAATTGATACACGAACGACTCGGGCGAAGAAATTTTTTGCACCTCTGACACAACGTGAAGCAATCCCCTTGTTGTTCTGATAAAAACGAACTTGCATTAATGTGGCTTGAAAATACAGAATATGAATATATATGAATATTGATCTGTTATTCGTTCGTACGGGTGACAGCTTGAGGTGCACGTTGTACCGCCGCAGTAAAATAAAAATAGAAAGGAATCGAACTGTTCAGGTGCACGCTTCTCTCACAATAAGTTCTAGAGCAGTCACCATAGAAGGAAATGTGATGAAATTTCCATATCAGACACCTCGCCACCTCTTATCAAAACAGTTTCAGAATTCAGAATCATCAACCGGCTGCGTTCGTTTGCAAGAGTGACGCATTCTTCGATGTAACGTAACGAAGTAAAATTTCGCAAAATATGCATCCGGGGATATCAGAAAGAAAAAAAAGAAAAAATAAAACTGACCGAGCAACATGTCATACGTGATCCTTTTCTACTTTTACTTTATCGTGCCGTTTAATGACGTTCTTCTAAGATCGTCGCTCGTTTAGCGTTTCTTCACAGAAGCGAATCAGCAAAGCGATCGAGCACATCCGCTTCAATTTTAATTAAAAGGCTCGAAAGGATGGAGTAGCTCGTCTAAACGAAGCGACATCCCGTTCTACATGACTTTCCGGGAAACTTTCCGCCATGGCCTTGCAGCAAAGGGTGAGGTGAGTACAGTCAGCGAGCGGAAGGAGCAAAAAGAAAAGGAAAAAAAAAATTGTCCTGGATACCGATTAATTTGTACCCCTGTTACCCGGGTAAGCACGACGTCGGTCCAGAGCACGTACCTGAATAAAACATCGGCCGGATCCAACGAGTAACTAAATTTTAAGCAATGGCACGGCGCCGCAGCACCGAGCTTTCGAAAGTTCAACGACACAAGTCGTGGCTGGCCGCGACTTGTGGCGCTCTGCTGGGAATCTGGGCATAAAAATTGTAAATCGCGGATATAACCGGTACTCCGATACCGGAGGGAATAATCATGCATTACGATCGACCACGAAACTTCTCCTTCGGTCGCCTCTTCGCCTCCCCTCGCCGTCCGCCGGGTGAATTATACCGAAAGAAAGAGAACTCGAGTGCAGAGAGGCCACGGGGAAAGAAACCATGGGAAGAGAGATCGAGGGTACAACCACAAGTGCTTCCTAAGGGTGCTTGGTGCTCGAACGAAATGGTAAGAGGGACAGGGAGAAGAGTCCCGATGCACCGTTCACTTCTTCATTAATGGTAATGATCGCGTCCTGAAAGTCTTCGGGAAACTCGCGAAAGGAAACATCGCGATTTGTATTCAGGACACGATATGGCGTTGCTACCCGTACCGTGGTGGAACGAAGGTTCGAGCCAAGCCAGGGACGGGGTTGGGTGGATTCGCGAAATAAACTCCTGAATAAGAGGAAGAAAGAGGTAGGAAAGGAGGAAGCGAAGAGCGAGAAGAGGGTAGTAGTAGACTCTTGCGCTCCAGTTCGGCTTCCGACAATAAAAGTGAGCTAAGACCACGCACACGTTAGCATCGTCGACGTCTTTCGTTCGTGAACGTACAGAGGAACACTCACGGCTGTGATGGTGTCTAGGCTCCATCGCGTGGAGCACTCTGGAGGATGCCTTTTCGAAGACTTTATTTGGCGACGTCGTTCGCTCTTCGCCGTCTCGTTGCTCGCAATAATCGAACGAAATCGAGAACGAATGATAATTTCCAGTGTGGATGTCACAGTTTCGGGGCGTCGGGCGGATGGGGGAACCGGGGAGGCAGAAACGGGTATCAGAAGTGCATAACTATAACGCTCGATGTGTCCCATCGCCAACCTACGTGCTATTGTTATCGATTACGACGAATGATCGACGTTCGCAGGGATGGAGCGTAAGGAGCAAAGATAAGAGGCGGCGCTCCGTAGTTCGATTTAAACGCGCCGTGAAGATGCAAGCACGGATGCGCGGGAATGATGCCTGGTTCTCGCGTGCACGGGGTTGTTTAACGCGGCCGCTCTGTTTCAAAGGCCGCGCACCTGGGAGCAACAAAAAGAGTCACGTATCTTGCGGTTCGTTTAAATGAAACCTCTTGAAGCGGATCCGCGCGATCCACCGGGGAAGCAACTTTGAATGTTGTCAAGTAATTAAATAAAATATGGAAACACGTTGCGTTTTCCATGCAGCGTCCCCCGCCCTCCTTTTTTCTCACCGGATGTTTTTCACCGTGCTTCGTGCTCCCAACCCCCCACGGTATTGTGCTTCTTCGTCGTTTGCGTGAACAAGGCGTAAATGTACGCGTCTGCACGCGAGACCGCGGCCGCGCGTGTTATGTTTTCCAGAGAAACCGCTTTGGCTTTCGAGATACCAGCTGCGGTACAAACTCTTGAGCAAACATACTTAGGTTGGCTGCCGGTGCTAAAGGTCGCTGGTTGGCTCTCGTTGATGCCCTTTCTTCCTACCGGGTAAACGTAATTAAAAATACTCGCTCGGTTAATTTCCAAACGGAAACGGACCCCCTCCGTCCCTTTAAACCACGTTATCACCTAAAAATTTCGTTAACAGCGGGGCACGCTTCCATCCCTGCCAAAACTTCTTACTGTGATTAATCACGTTCACGGGGGGCGGGGGGGGG